CCTTCGAACAGTCCAGTGTTGATCAGATAAGGTTGTACAAGTGTCATTTTAATTCCGTCATATCCTTCTTTAATGAACTCATACTGCAGTGCTTCATGCAGGCCAACGGCAGCAAATTTACTAGCACAGTATTCAACCATTTTGGGTGTTCCACACGAACCAGCCAGGCTTGCAATCGTAACAATATGCCCATGGTTTTTGGCCACCATAGAGGGCGCAAATGCTTTTATCGTCTAGAAAATTAAATTACATAATATATTTTTAAATTAGTATTTTGGGGCATTTTAGAATAATTTTGTTTGATAATATATGCAATAGCGTATGGTTTATTGCAAAATATATTTTTATAATTTAGGTAGAGCACTATTATAGCTCTGTATGTGTACATGAATAAGTCAACATATAACAACTGTATACCTTAGCCAAACTTCGTACAATTATATATTTTTATTTTTCCTCATGTTTACTGAATATACTCAGTGAAGTTTATTATAAATATTTCAAGTGCCGAATTAGTTTTGTTAAAAACGTTTTCTGACAGATACATTATGTTCTGTACTATTGCTAAACCTTTGTTTAAACTAATTCATGTAATAAAGCATATTAGAAATGCTTTGGGGTAAAGACACCCAAGTTGCAGTATTTCCAAAGTGATAGTATTCAGACTGGAAAAATACCTGGTAAATATTGAGTGCATCAAACTGAGAGAAAGTTGAGTAAATTCAGACACTACAATCACTGTCTCAAAATTGAAATATGTTGCTAGTGTGGTGGTCGTTGCACAGTACGTGTTCGAATTTCATGTAAATAAACAATGTATTTTATACGCGTTGCATACGTCGCTATGAGTCCCAAATCAAACAGGACATGGCACGACAACTGCAGGACTTTAAATACCGGTTCTGTTATGGAAACTAAGACATGCTTCATAATGTCATGCAAAAAATATGAAAAACAGAAATTTACTTTTAGACAACACAGCATGTATGTAATTCAAAATTTCACAGTGTTAACAAAAAACAAAACATTCTACATAATCAGATACTAGTATAACATTTCTTAATATCATGTTGGCAAAGTACATAGAAAAATGTTTATGTACTAGAGAACAGCTTCCCGACTGAACACAATGAGCTCAATCTTTATAAAAATAAAAATATATAAGATTAATTTAAACAAGTCATTGAAAATGACACAGTCCCGTTAAATTTTTGAATGTTCTCTTTGTGCTCGTCATATTAAAGCGGAGGGGTTGTCCTGTGCGTGTCCTTGAAATACAACAGATTGTTTATTTACATTAAAACATGTGTTCCATGTAGTAGTAATATGGCCAAAAATAAAAATAGCCGTTATTTGGCCATCTTTGATCTGATTATGAAACACACTGATATGTATGATGTATGTGCCAAATACGAATGAAAATGGTACATAAATTGTGGAAATATAGTAGAAGGCCAAAAAATCAGACGGCTGTCAATCGGCTATCCTTGACCAGATTTTGAAACAAATTGTCATGGACATGCATCCTAACATGTATAAAGTACATGTATGTGCCAAATTTGAATGAAAACTGACAGAGCACGTCCAAGATACCGCATAAAAAAACAAAAAAACAAGATGCCTGCCAGTTGACCATCTTTGATCCAATTGAGAAATAAATCGTCATGGACATGTATCCTAACATGTATAATCTATGTACCAAGTTTGAATGACAACTGACAAAGCACGTCCAAAATACAACATTTTCAAAAACCAAGATGGCTGCCAGTCGGCCATTTTGAATCAAATTGCTAAACCACTGCGTGTGCATATGTCCCACATAAGGTACTAGGCACATGCAAAGAATGAACGGAATCGTTCCCAGGATTCTGTAATACAACTCTGGACAGACTGACGCACGGACGGAAGGAGGGACGGACAGACGGACAGACAGACTCAAGAACTCACGAACGGTCAGGGACATGTATCCTAACATGTATGCTCTATGTACTAAATTTGAATGAAAACTGACAAATCATGTCCAAAATACGACATTTTCAAAAACAAGATGGCTGCCAGTCGGCCATCTTTTATCCAATTGTAAAATAAATCGTCATGGACATGTATCCTAACATGTATAATCTATGTACCAAGTTTGAATGAAAACTGACAAAGCATGTCCAAAATACATTTTCTAAAAACAAGATGGCTGCCAGTCGGCCATTTTGAATCGAATCGCTAAACCACTGCATGTGCATATGTCCCACATAAAGTACTAGGTACATGCAAAGAATGAACAGAATCGGTCCAAGGGATTCTGAGATATGACTCCGGACAGACGCACGGATGCACGAACAGACAAACACCGAATTATAAGTCCCCGTTTTCGGACTTCGGACTAATAATTATGTTGTGTTAAAATTTCTGTTATGATATTTACGCCGCATATCATTCCTATTCGTGTTGTATTTTGCATGTCAAAGTTTTCAAGATCTTTCAATAACTTAGGGTTTAAAGATGCAAGATGGATACATATATGAATAAATTCAATGGCTTTTATAATTTATTTGTTGCAGTGTTACTTCTGATCGTCAAGTTGAATGCCTCGGTCAACACAATCGCCGGGGTGCTACTAACTGTTAGCAAGGTATAGGTTACTGTGTCTGAAGTGATAGTGGTCTAACAATCTTTTTTGGGGGTTGGAGTACTGTGCTGATGTCAAAGGAAACATAGTTGATTCATATTCATGTGGTTAGTTATCAAGTGGTGGACTTTGTAACACTTTTCTCATTATTTTATCTGATGAGTTGGTTTTGTTGACCTTCGTATCATTGGACTATTCACCGTGGTCGATTGCTTTATCATGTAAATTGGTCAGAATGATAAATGTATTGGGTTTAATGGACTGAATGAACTCTGTGTGGCCCGGCGCAAGTGGTGTACTCCCATAATTGAAGTATAAGGGTATGCTGTTTTGACACACAGTGTCAGTTTAGGGTTATTGTTATGAATATGATTGATGATTATTACATTTAGGGTATGATGCAGCTCAGTCCGGAAGCAAATATATAAAACAGCCTCATAAATGTAGCATACAGATTGGCAATCAATATGGACAGCCAAAATTGGGTCAATTGTATTAAAATAATTCTCAAAGCCCTTATTATGGAACATGAGTTGGAAAATGGAAAGATTAATGAGAACAAATACCTAATAAATAATATTACTACAGCACTTGAAACCAACTTAAAAATAAACAGTAGGGATTCTCTAAACAATGACAATAAAGGTATTAACCACAGAAATAAACTACATACCGGTACTTATAGAAAATTAAAAACTGAATTTGGACTTGAAAATTATCTGCTGACAGTAAATAACCCACTACATAGATCATCAATGACCAAACTAAGATTAAGCGCACATGTTTTACAAATTGAAATGGGTAGATACCATAAAATTAACATTACCGAAAGAAGCTGTCCTGTATGCAATACAAATGATATTGAAGATGAAGAGCACTTTCTGTTAAAATGTCAGTTATACAAACGTGAAAGACAGATTCTTCTCAACACAATTAGACAGTGTTCTGAGGGCAACACTGATACAAGCTTTATCAACATAGTAGGCACAAAGAATACTGTCATGCAAAAATGTCCAGCAAAATATATATACGAATGTTTCAACATAAGAGAAAGCAGATTTAAAAAAAAACAGCTGCCTCACAGATATCTAAATAAGTAATCCTAACACTTACTTTATTAATTTGCATTTCTAACCCACTTTCGGGCAAGTTTGTTGTTTTAGTTTTGTTTAGTTTTTTTTATACTAGTGTATCTTCTTTTTTTTTATTCTGAATGTTTCTGACATGGAATGACAACCATGCTTTATTGTACTTAGATCTATGTCCATTTTTAGGATACGACTTAAATAAAGACTATTATTATTATTACTATCATTTCACGACTGTGTACAAGTTAGCAAATTTTATGTTATGAAGGTGCACGGTAAATCAGTTTTCTTAACTTACCCAAAAGTGGGAAATCGCATTAACATTCATCGACCTTAGAATTAGTTCATCGGGACAATCCAACAGATTCTTGCCTGCCACGACCCCAGCATTATTGACAAGTATGGTTACGCTACCAACATCTTTTTTGACTTGTTCAGCAAGGCGGTAAACTTCGTCTTTATTTGTCACATCGCACCGGTAACTGTGTGCCGTAGCCCCCAGATTAGTAATCTGTTCCGCTGTTTCGTCGCCACCGTGCTTGTTCATATCCCATATCACCAACCTACAGCCCTGTTTGGCGAAATTAATGGCCATCTGACGACCAATACCACTGCCGGCACCGGTTACCAGCACTATCTCACCCTCCAACGATTTTTCGGCAGGCGGTACGAAAAATCGAAATATTCCTACTAAGTTGAACCATGTCACTTTCAGTAACACAAATAAAGCTTCAAGAATGATGAACATGCCTGTATTTTTTTTGAGACCAATTTGCCTCGCCTGTTCTCAAGTCCAAAAGTTTATCGAACTATTAATAAGTTGATTTGCGCATGCGTTGCCATCAGGGAAGGGTCCAGCAAAATGTATTGGGGGGGGGGGACCAGGCCTATAGGTCGAAGACACAGGACCGTGTGATTCGGACGATGCTATGCGTAATCCAGACGCATTTTCCTGCCCCCCCCCCATCTGGATCCGCCACTGGTCGTCACAGGATGCGCTGTCTCAGCCCTGGCTTCATTCTCTACCATCAGTCCCAGGGTAAAATGACTAAATTTGAACGTTAAAGGGCGGTTGTCGTCGCGTTCTGTTCGACATGGGTCTCGTAGCGACGAGTGTAAAATACATTTGTTTGTTTACATGAAATTCTAACACGTGCTGCGCGCCGACGACCGCCCGGTTAAACAAAACAAAAATTCTGTGTTGCACAAAATTAAGCGTATATTTTGTGATTCAGAGGGAGAAATACATTTATTTATGCAGTGTCCTGTTGTTGAAATGTTCTGACGAAATTCTTCTATGCCAACTATTTTTTTTTCAATTTGTTGGTTTGAGTGATGAAC